AAAGCTCCGAAGGTTGTTGCTTCCAAAACTGCGGTCATGTATGTTCGGGTGTACAAAAAGTATGTTGCCAAAAATGCATGGAAGGACATCCTTGCTAACCCCCAACGCGCCTTTCACCATTGGATTGCGCAACAGCACATGAAAGTTCAGGACAGTTGGGGATGGGCCAAGGAACAGACCCAGGGTGAGGATTCAAAAATCTATGCCCTCTTCAGAGTTCCCGAGGCCGATGTTGCAGCCTTTGCCGCCCTTAGCGGGCGCGAAGGGTTTTTCATTGACCCTCCGAGATGGACGACTTTTCCTGCATTTTCTGTCCAGTGGGCAGAGAAAGAAGTCAAGGAGACAGACCTTGAATTTCTCCAGCGTGTGCGGGCTGTTGAGTCCAAGTTTGGGGTTGTTGTTGGTCGTCGAGGGTTGGGAAAGCGCATTGCCAGGGATGCAAATCAGGCGATTCCGCGCACATGGTTGCTTGAACATGCCCCATTTGATTGGGGATCAGTGCAAGCGTCCAAAGCAGTCTCAACCATTTTTGAGAATGTCACCATGCTGCGCCAGCAGCGGACGAGGAAAGGTGTAAATTTTTTCTTTAGGGCCGAGCATGCTACAGAACACGATGTCATAGCCCTTCCGTTCGAAGACGGGGATATGCTTTGGTGTAGGTGGGCACCAGTGCGAGCCAAGCCGCAAGCCCAAACCATACGAACCAATGGCTCATGGTCCCTTCTTCCCCCTCGCGATCCATTTGCCGAAACCACCAAGGTCGCTCAAGCTGCCTCCCAGGATGATGCTGAGGAGGTGTCGGCCACTGATGCATCCATGGAGGCATCTTCAAAGCAGGCACCGTCGGAGGGAAAAGAGGCAAAGCGAGAGTCTACCAGTAAGGGCAAAGGTGTGGCCAAGCGAGTTTGCACCGAAACACGGGATTTGCCTAAAGGGGTTGAGCAACAGCAGGCACCCACTGATGGGAGCTGTTTATTTCATGCAGCCTCTGCCGCCATTGCTCACATTCTCAAGTGCGAACCTGAGGCGCACAGTGTGCTACGTGCCAAGGTTGTGCAACATTTCAAGAGAAACTCCTCCCGCTATGAGGCCATGTGGGATAAGGAGCTCCCGGACCGTTCCCAGGGCAACAGTTTCCAGGATTACATTTCGGCCATTGCAGTTGTTGATACTTGGGCTGGGCCCATGGAGCTTGCAGCCTTGGGTCGGATTTATGACATCAAGTTTGTGATTTACCCGAGGTCCCCGGATTTGGAGGTGTGTGCTGTTCATGTCAACCAACGGAAGCGGGTCGCTGCCCTTGCTTTCACAGGAAGCCACTATGAATGGCTCAAGCCTGTCAGCAAGCTCCCTCAGGAGCTGTGCGATGTGACCACCCCTCCACCCCAGGTCCCAATGCGAGGCGGAGGCAAAGAGCGGAGTGCGACTACAAGCTGCACGGGTTCAGTTCGATCGGTCTGGACTCGAAAGTCCAGGCAAAGTCCTTCGCATGCCGCGTCGGTGTGGACTGCCTCGAGCCCGAAGTCTGCATGGACCGTAGAGCAACGACCGGCATGGACCCACAAGGTCGACCATACATCAGGCGCCACGGCTGCTTCTGTACCTGAGGACTTCTCTTGTTTGGACCCCGAGTTGCACGAGCCTGCGAGTTCCCCCAAGATGCCAACCGACCGTCAAATTAGGTCTTGGGGACGTGCCGGCTTGAACCTCAGTAAGAAGACTGCTGTTGTCTGTCCGCTCTGCCCATTTCGCGCCACAGCAAAGGATGCAACACACCGAAAATCCATGCTCTATGAACATTACAGGACCCACCATCCTGGACGGATTCCCTCTGGGGTCCCACATGGAGCCAGGCAGCCATCGATCATCAAGGCCAACAGTGGTGGTGCTGTTTATTGGAAGTGTCCACTCTGTGAGTTTGGTATTCCTGCGCAAGATGCCTTTTCTAAAAGTGCAGATGCTGTCACTGCTGACAAGTTCGCGCATTGCAAGGCTGCACATGTTAAGGTGACGTGGACCAAGTTTAAGGCCCTGGATCGCAAGCAGACTCTTGAAAAAGCGGCGGTGACACGCCGCGGCCGGGAGTGCATCAAACGGCTCAGTGCTGCAAAGGGCACCGAACTTGAAGGATACAGGTTGTTCTGCTGGCCCAGGGCTGCACCTCTTAAGACCTTCGCTGCAAAAGGGGGACTCAGTTCTTCTTTCGGTTGGATGTGCCTGACGTGTAGGTCGCCCTTTCGATGCCCAGGCGACGCCCTCACCCATGCCAAGAGAGGACTGTGCTGCCCCACCATTGCCAAACGAAAGGCTCAAAGGAGGGTTGATGCCATTAAAGCCCTCACCAAGGCCCACCACAAGAATACCCCGAAAGGGCCCGCCAAAACGAGAGAGAGCGATCTGCTCCGTACCGCCATTTCGATTTTCAGCTTGCCACTTTCATCCGCATTGCCACCTTGAACACTGTTGGCAAGGGTGTTTCTGTTGTCAATGAAGTCTCCAATTTCATGGACAGCCACAATCTTCAAATTTGCACTGTGGCCGAGGCTGATATCACTGTGGCCTCCGCACCTGGATACATCCGTGCATGGAAGCTTCGAGGTTATCAGGCTGCTTTGTCTGTGCCTGAACCTTCGGGGATTTGCCGAGTGGCCTTAATCAGCCGTGTGAACTTTCGGGATTTTAAGATTGCTGAGGGCCTTGCTCAACACAGGTGTGCTGCGGGGCTCTTTGAGTTTCGCAGCCACGACAAAGATCGCCAGTTTGTTATCGCTTCGTTCTACGGGCAGTCTGGGAATGCACCTGCAGCCGCAGCGCAAGCTGAGGATGTTCTGGCTGCTTGCAACCACAGTAACCTTCCTTTCATTGTTGCTGGTGATTTCAACTTAGAACCCAATGAAGCAATCATTGGAGAGGCCAGAGCGACGGGGGTCATTAAAGCATTGGACGACGCCTCGGGCGGGGCCCCGTTGCCTGCAACGGGCCCAGCACGCAAACGCAGAATCGATTATGGGTTGTGCCATTGGTCGGTTGCTGCCAGTTCCATTTTGCATTTTGACCCAGCTTTCTCTGATCATGCTTCGGTCTGTTATGAGGTCCCGTTGGATGTGCCACCGTTTCATGTTGGGCCCCGACGCAGTCCCATAAATGATGATTCCAGGGATATCATTGCTGAAAGGTTTTCCCAGCTTGATTGTACGCCGTTTCGGGCGGCTCTGGACCAAGGCAACATCGATGATGCATGGCGCCTCCTTTCAGATTGGGCTGAAGCATGCCTCACCTCTGGCAGCTCTGAGGCTGTACCTCGTAGCAGCTGCTGGAAACCAAGGGAACTTGATTGGCAAGCTCGCAGTTGCATTCAGGGCTCGGCTGCTGTCAGGGCCTTAGCCAAACTTCAGCGTCAGTGTGCAGCCTGGTCCGAAACGGGTGATCAGCGTGTCATGCAAAAAATGCTTCGGTCGTTACCCCGTGTTCGAGCAATTGTCCCTGACTTGCCATGGGTTCAAAAAGACAATCTGAAAACACTAAGTGACTTTGTCGATGAAGCACTCCCTCACCACCAGAGGCAGGAGGCTGCTGCTGTCAAAGCCCAGTGGAGACAGTTACTTCGCGATGACGTCAGCCGCCAGAGAACTTTTGTTAAGTCTAGGGCTGATGCTCAACTGGATTTTGAAAAAAGGCAGCTTGTTACCAATGAGGCTAAACTTGCAGGACCTGT